ATTGTCAGTGATCAACCTAAATCGTCATCTCGTCAAACGAAGAAAGCAGCCGAGAAGTCTTCCAATAAACAAAGCTTGGGAATCCGAAGTAGACCTCCTGGTGCTCGAGGCCCCTACCGTCTCTGTAGGTACCACGGTCGTCCGGAGCTTTGTTGGCAAGGGAAACGTTGCGTCTATGCGCACAATGAAGCAGAGAGAGTAGCTTGGGAAGAAGACAGGATAAAAGGTATATTTCTTAAGGCTGCCTCAGGGCAGAAAGTAAGTAAGGCGTTGTTTTCAACGTAGGGGATAATAACTTCGTGAATTTACAATTCGCATGTTCCTAATTTATGTAGAGGGATTTTATTGAGAGTCGCAGTATTCTTTAATAGTGAGCACTGTTGCTAACGACTGTGTCTTACACTGGTAAAGTAAAATTGTTTTCAGTAAATATATCAAGGAATATTTGTAAATTTTAAAAGCATAAATTGGATACCCTTCATTTCAGCAGTCATATTATATTCAGTGGAAGCCAGAGAAAATTCAGAGAATATACCCTTTTTGCCTTTGAACTGATTATCGCCATAAATTATGACATGTATTTAAAACGCCATTACTTAAAATCAAGAATGCATGTCGTACGAGATAAAGACATGATGCCGAGGGAGGGGAAATTCATGGCATGGTTCTGATCATTTTAAGCGAAGTTTCCAACTTGGACAATAATAAGACAGTAAGAAATCGATAAAAACGGGAAAGAGAATTTCTCTTGTTTCTGGGCCTTGAAAATGCAGCTCTCGCATGTTCATTACTTCACTTATTACCTGGAAGCCAAAATCTGGACGCTTCTCGTCGTTTTCAATATTACACACTATTCACTGTATTCCAGAAACTTCTAGGAAACTCAGTGCTAAGAAAGAGAAGGCAGAACAGGATAAAGCACGTGAAGCCAATTCCATTTCACTGAAAGAATGGCGTGAAGCATTTAGGGGACAATGCCGAGCACCCCGGCACATTCCTAAGAAAGGAGGAAAGTACAAAATGTGTCCTAAGTAAGTATTTTTTATTATATACATTACAATCTTAACATTACAACTATCTTAAAGTGAAATCATATTCCCATAGTCAAACTGATAAAATGGGGAAGAGGTTGGGGGATTGCACCATTTTCTTGACAAACCCCGACATAGCAACGTCAGGGCAATTTTTGAATCGTCAACACTCATACACAATTCTTTGACCGCACTTTATCGCCACTGTTAGAATTTTGAAA